ACTGAAGTAAAAATGTGTCACCCTAAAAGAGAACAATATTTGCAAATAGTTTTACATAAATCAGTATATCACCCACAGTGTTTCACAGGCTTATTATTTAAATTCTCTGTGGCTTTGAATTAACAGGAATTTATCTGGCACTATGTCTCATTCTAATGTCCCATTTTCATTAACTTCATTTAAAAAAAAACAAACAAACAAAAAAAAAAAACAACAACAGGCTACACAACATAATGCTATATCATTCTCCAGTATACAGAGGTAGGGTCATTCCATAGAAGTGAGCTGTAAAAAACCATAACAATCTGATTATAATCACTTGCTTATGACCTTATGCCACCCCGGAGGGGCAACATCTGTCTGTCTTTTCCAAGCAGATCTGATCACTTATATACTCCTTCAATTTCTTCCTCCTAGAAACATTAAAGGTGTGCTATTGGCTTTTTTGTGCAGGACAAAGATGAGACTGTATGACCACAAAGGGATCAGAGGGTTATATTAAGGAGAAAGGTGCTGTGTAGCATATATAAAAGGAAGAATTTCAGAGCAAATGAGTCTCCATCCCTCCTGTGGCCACAACAGAATTCTCACAACTCAGAAAAGGTATGTAGTGTGAGAGAGCAGTGGTAGCACCCCACCTTTGCCTATTCATATTTATAGCTAGTTTGAGAATCCCAAAGTCTCTAGCTACCACGAGGTGGTATACACATCCTGTAAAAGGGAAACCATTATTGCTAAAGGGTGAAAAGAAAATTCTAGCACTGGAAGTTGTCCTTTGACAGGGCACATATAGGCGCTTCCTATATCTTAGCTCATGCTTATATCAAGTATTTCTCATTGTCTTCCTGTCCTATTAGAGAAATGGTAGGTTAGTTTCGTTCTGTAGAAAAGCTCTTGCATTCTAGGAGAAATGAAGACCATGCTGTCTTTTCAGCCAGTAATTTAGAAATCCAGGACTTAATAGCCAACTCATTTAGAAAAGCCCAAGCATAGTTATATAATGGACAAGTTTTAGATATACTGACTGATGTGTGTGTGTTATGCATTCTTCTCTCTGGCTAAATCAGTGACATATCATTTAAACTCTCATTATTGAATTTGGTTTTTTAAGTTGTAAAGACATACAGGCAGCATCTACATTGTCCTAAGTAGCACACGTCAGTAACAAAGCTAGAGTTTTCTTTGACCTAACTTGTTAAACCCCATTGCCAGACATAGCTTCAGCACAGTGTACCAATCTTGGTTCAACAGCCACCCTTATTCAAGCTACCCAAAATGTTCAGCTAATCTTGCAGAAGTCA